ATATATATATAGCGTAAGATTTAAGAAATCCTCTTATAGCCCCAGTTATGGAAGGGTTGTATTTAAAAAACTTGTTGCGCATCTTTTTGTGATCGTAAACCATAATGTAATCAATCGCAAACCGTGACTTAATCACGTTTAGCCTTTCCTCTGCTTGGCGAACTCCGCACTCTTCGTTACACTAACAACGCTGTTGTCGTGCGCCATAATGTTATTAAGTAAATTGCGCTGGTCACTAACTCTCTGACGAAGGTTTTTTTGTTAATGTCTGTAACCTGCAAACATGCAATCACCCGCCATCATCTGGTTATTGCAGTTCAGCCAATGGAACATGTAGGGGTGCTCCCTATAATAAAAACTACGCGAAATAATATGGTATATAAATATAGAGGAAAACTAAGCTGGGGAGAGGGTTGTCAATGTGAACTTATCTAATATATATATATATATATATATATATATATATATATACTGATATTGCGAGATGATGGCATCATTGAATGACAGCTGGACTTTTGTCACTGCCTGTGTGTTTGCAGAGTGTCTTAAGCTGTCCGTACAGCCGCAACGTCCCGGCCAACGTGGTGCGTCTTAAGCTTAGTGATTTTCTCAATGGTTGGCTTCGTTTCAACTGCGGGCACCCGGTAGAACTCCGCCCGCATTTCTGGTCGAAGTTTGTGCTCAAGCAGCATATTGTTGTTTGGCGCAAGGCCGACGCAAGCGCGGATAATGTTCTCGATACAACAACGCTGCTTGAATAGAGCGTTGACGACTGGAGTACCTTGCGGAACAAGCGGTGCTTTGCACAAATAACTGAGAATACTGAGTACAGGGTCGAAGCCCGAAAACTCGGCCTGGTGCTTTAAGCGCATCTGGATGCGCTGGCAAAGCTCAGCAAGGATGACGAGATCTAGAATTATTGGCGCGGCGAGCAGCGAGTCCTCGCAGGTGTTATGCACGACGATTGTATTGCGACCTCCCATGGCCAACTCGGATGTGTATTCGTCCATGGCGCGTTTCGAGTCGCCAACGTATGGGACGTATTTGATGACAACGCAGTGGTCAGGCTTCTCGCCGGGCTTATAAAGCAGATTGTTGCTTTCGACCATGTCATCGACAACGTTCGATTTTGAGATTTCCTTCGAGCGGAACTGCGCCGGAGCCGAAAGGTTGAAGCCGTCATTGTTGCCGAGATGGTTGTAACTGACAATGGAAACTGGTTTAATACCGGCACTAACAAGGAAGTCAACAAGCACCGATTTCAGTTTTGTCTGACCTGATTTGAAGTCATCGCCAGCAACCAGAACCTTGTTTTTCTCGGCCAGTTCGATCAGACCTGGCACAAACGTGTTTTGTGGGGATCCATTGATGTAAGTGACCCCTTCGAGAATACAGGCGACGGCGTACAGAGTCGACGGAGATATCTCGCTCTCGTTGCGGTCGATCGAGGCAAGCAAATTGGCGGCCGTATCATTGAGACCGGGCTGTACAGCGCAAAAGCGCTCAGTGTTAGCTGTCCAAAGGACAATGACGTTGGGGCAGCGTTTTTTCATGTCACGCAAATCTTCTCGAATCTTTTCCATCTCTTCCTTTTTTCTCAGGCCCATATAGACATTGTCAGCTCGCGCTTCCTGGTTTGCGGCTATAAAGTCGGGGTCATAAATCGCCCTGCGAGGCACAAGCACTTTCATCTGAAATTTTAATACACGGAAATACAATTAGTAATTAATTCCACTAATGTAAGGTACGTAATTAGCGGCGTTGATTAAATATAAGGTATCAGCACATATGGCGGAATGCATATCATCATATTAGAACAAGATTATTGGACACACATCACCGGTAACCAATACATACACTAAGATCATGTATATATATATATTTTTTTAGTCTATAAAAATACTGAGAAAGCAACTTAATTGGTACAGGTCTTGCCTTTTTTTTTATTTAGCGACACTGATATCCGTCCTTATACAGGTAAGATGTTATCGACATGGAAGTTATTCAAGGCGTCCACTGAAATATTGAGCCTACTCGCATCATGGAGCAATGTAAAACAATCTAAGCGAAAAGCGATGTATAAACGAATTTGTGACATTTACCTGATCGTATAGCTGCCTCTGTACGTCCCACTCCAAGACTTTAGCGCGCTTCATACTCTCTGCGAGGTTCATCTTAGAAATGTCCCAACCATCGACAATGAGGTCATTGGGGTCGAGCATTGGAACGATATCTTTCATTGGTACGAACACTTCGTGGCCTTGGGCATCAATTCCGATGCCGACAGTCGACGCCTGCGTGATACTGCCCCAGTAATTAGCTTGGCGCACGCCGTCCTTCGTATTCCACTGCAACTTCGCACGATTCGCGAGTATCATAGCCGTTACCGTTGAGCCATTGTTTCCTAAAGCACGTCAATGAACGATAAAACAGTGATATAACAAAAGTTAGTGCTGCGAACTGCGATGCAGGCGACTGAGCAATAAACAGCTTAGAGCTTAGTTGAGCCCCTTCTGACTCCTTAGCAAATTTTATTTTTTCAGAACACGCCATCCAGACGTTGCGTCAAGATACGCATCATTCACTACCGTATTCATGAATTATGACGGGAAACACTCGTGAAATGGCGCTTTTTTTCTATGACGCCACAGACTCTGACGAATTGTTACAAGGAGAAAACAAGCGCATAAACTCTTTGCAATCGTACGTATTATGATATGTATAGATAATTATCTATACGTGTATCTATGCAACATGGAAAAGTCGCAAATGATTGGCCACACGTAGATATACACTTTACTAGTACGTCAGGCGAAAACATCTCGTTTCAACTTTCCATTGCTATCACTGTGGCTTCCATATAATGTAAGGTGGCCTCTCCTTTTTATTAACTCTATCACTAGCAATCACTCGTGTGAAGAACTGCTTACCTCCCCACCCGACGAGTGCCAAACAGGTTTTAGGCACTTTGCGCGTTGTCCTGAAGACGAATTCTTTTGTTTGCGGGTAACATTTCACGCTAGCGCCCTCCTTATTCACAGCGGTCGTCTGATACGAGTACTCCGTTTCGATGTACTCCTCCGAGTACTTCACACGATCGGAGTGAACTTCAATCACCATTTTTGCTGTTTTTCGGCTGCTTCGACTGCTATTGTAGGTTCAATCTCGTGTTTTAGTTTTATTAATTAGCAACTAACTAACCTTTTTTTTTCTTTCACGCTTTGAAAAGATTGTTCTTCGTGTTCCGGATCCTACAGCTCCGGCTCAGCTAACTGCTGGTATTAAACTTCGGCGTAGTAATGATACAGATCGCGTTCCACGATTACCTGCGGCTTACCTGTTGCTATACAATAGCAGTATTTCTATAGTATCTTGTATTATAGTACTATAGTGTTAAATATTGTTAAACAGTAGAATTCTTCGTACCGGTCCTCTTGACTGTCCACTTGATCAAGCTGTCCGCAAAAAGTGGCGCTGTCAAGACGTTCTTTATCTGACCGCCTCTGTCTACCAAGGTAGAACTGAGTTTACGACGCAAGTTGTGATTGTTGCTGTCCGACCGCCCGGCGGTATCGTTCTTATATACACTGGAGCCGAGTAGCGAAAGTTCTCGACGGAGTGGGCGAGGGTGAAACGGTAGGACGAGTAGGGGAGAGCCATGCGAAAGGTGGCGCTACTGACAGCCGCGACTGTTGCCGCTGGAGATACTAACAAGATGATGAGGTGGTGTGAATCCGGGTGCTGGATTCACGCCATGTCGTCAAACTGCCATTGTGGCTGTGGATTTTGCATTCCAAATTAGCTCCAACAAACGTATACGAATATATTCTATTATAGTAATAAAAATCAATGTTTTACCATAGTATATACTGTAGGACGCAACATAGCGCTAAGACAAGCCAGTATGATGGCGACCATAGAGAAGCGACATTACGAAATGGTGTTTACGTTTAGATGTTAGAGTTTCTGTCATTTCCACTAATGCTATTGTCTCTGCTCGTCGGTAGTGGTGTTGCGTCTGCAACAGCCTTTGCAGGACGCCCCTGGGCGTCAAGTGGCCGCGACTATGTTAAACATCGCACGTCAAAGGGGTTAGGTTGAGTTATTAAACAAATGAAAAGTTTCAACACGTAACAGAGATACGTACACAACGACATGCTCGGGTTCAATAGGGAATTTTGCCGGTTTTTCTCTCTCTGATCGTTTTCTGTTGCATTTTCGATACGGTTATTGCTCTAATGATGATGATGACTGATGTTCAAAATACGTTGATATAGACCGCACTCCATTCTGAACGATGACAACAGTAATATGAATAGCAGCGCCAGCAATTGTTATCATAATTATCTAGGTTGTCATCATTGGCAGGACTGCCGGCATAGGGTAACAGGCGTGACAGTGATCAGACAAGCCCTCAGGCTTCGCAACATCGGCTACCGCACACTGAACACTCGCAGGTTTCGTGAGAGTGGAAATCGTAATATTGGGTGTCCTTAACCCTGAACTTCGCTGCGCCCTACCGAGCCCGATTTGGGCAAAAGGCTGCAAACAGACCCGAGAAGCCCATATACAGAGCGTGTGACAGAGAGATTATGCTGATGCAAGTGTCTTGAGACGTAAGTTTTGTGTTGGGGCTTATTTGTTATTTGCATTCTGCTCGAGTTTAGTTTCTTTTAAAGAAAGAAAGAAGCTAAATTACTGTTCATAGACATTGTGTATTAGCAGGACACAAAATTAGCTTGGTTAGGTTTATATGCGTTTATACGAGTTAGGCTTGTACCAAGATTATGTCAACTTATGCCAAGAGTTTCAATCTCAGTGATGAATATGGAAATAGCTTTATATTTATTATTAACTGTTCAGAAGAATTCCCGTCCGCCTGATACATTTGATACGCGATTTTTTGGAATCGTCGTGTTGCTTCCCTTTTCTTAGTAAAATAGTATATATATATATATATATATATACTATTTGACTTAATTTTACATGATTCATATATATATATATATATATATATATATATATATATATGATGGTGAGTATTTATAACGGTATATCGTAAGCAAAGAAACAGTGACGATTGAATTAAATTCCGATGTGGCCCCAGGGCACATTGATGAACAACCTATATAGATACTGAGAGCCACCAGGCTTCATTGTATAAAGCGCATGGGGCAAAGCGAAAGGAACACATTTTGCTCCCGGGCCCGCGCGTCTAAGTGACTGAGTTATATTTAGCAAGGAGGTATAACTCACGCACGTGGGAAAAGCAGACCGTAGATGATACACCGGTATCAATCTGAGCACTCATTGATTTTGTGATAGTTAAACGATAAGCCAAATATTAGCTCTACTATAGACGGCACGTTATCAAAATTAGTCAAGATACAAGCAAATGGTCTTTTCCAGATGGCTGTATCTCCTCGAACATTCTCTCTGTAAGAGCCGATGTATTGTGTACGTCTTTTTGTGAGTTATATAGTTTTGAAGCAATGGAGGACACGTTAGTGGATACAGTGGTATAGCCATAAAATCAAGTTCATTCATATTTAGATCTTTTGTGGAATGTTTTAGCTAACCTAAAGCTTGGACTGCCAGGCCCCACACTAAAAGCTACGAGGCTAGAATTTTGCTTACTAAATTTATGGATATGTAAGTTTTTCTGAGTCTGGGATAGATTTGTATAAACAAAGAAAGTTGTCATAGATAATTATAATTACCATCAGTTCAGATCTTATACGGAGACAAGGCAACATGTCGTATTACAAACTTTCAACTAAGCCTGTAGATTATGTAAGATTATGTACCTGTAATGAACCTGTAAGATTGTGACCAGTAATACGTAACAGAATGTTGATATCCACTATGGATTTATCGCTAGATTGTTTTTCCATTTTTATTAAATTTAGAGACACTGCAATATACTTGTGTCTTTCCGCACCACCGCCTAGAATACGTGGTTGGAATGGAAGTAAGCTCGTGCTAGGCGTTCGATTTTTCAAAGACCAGATATCACCACAGTGCCTCGATTTGTTTGTCGATCGTAGCCTTGTCAAAATAATAATTAAGGACTATCAATGCGCATTATGGGATGTTATTATAACATTTGTATCATTAGAGATGTATCGAATACTGGAGAACAAATTGTCGTGAGTAAGATTATGTCTATGGTGGTAATCTAGTATATATGAATCGGGTCTAGGAATGCTTTAGGCGACTATATGAATTTCATATAATTAATAAACCTAATCAGATATCTATAGTAGTACCACTGTACGGTTATAACTAGACTGTTTCTTATGATTTGTAATTTATAACGTAAGACGCTAAGTGGGTAGGATTTTTGCTGTACGGTTAAAAAATGGGCATCTTAGTAGTAGGTCCATTTATTGTGTCCAATAAGACTGCAGGAGAGTCATACGTCGCATGGTTACGTTACGCCGACAAATTGACAAGTGAATTGGACGTGTCAAATTAGCGACGACGCACACATCTTCACATAAAGAAAAATCAATCTTTACATGAAACTGTTCAGTTGTGCGGCCTGTTTTGTTTTGCTGCGTTACCACTGCTGTCGCTGTAATCGTTGATCACATAGAAAAACGTTCTCCAACTCCTTGTCTAGAAATAGATTTTTGTGCAGTTAATTGGGGGCATCATCCGAGGACGCCGTTTAATTCCGTAACATCTGAATATTATTGAAGCCGTTGGTGCTATCATTTTGCATTGATATCAAATAAAGTCGCAATACATTATACGTAAATATGGCACCCCGAATCTCATCCCACGAACCACTGCCTGTTGACGGCCTCATCATGGTGAACGAGCGGGACCTGCAAGAACTACGGGACAAAGCCGATCACCGTAGAATAGTTTTCGAATCGCTCCGACGAGTTTTCTTAGAGGTGGCTGGCGAATGTTCATCGCTCGAAGCTGAACTCAAAAGCCTGCTCCGAAGGTTGGGTACGTCTTACAAATCTGTGTTCGACGATGAACCGACAGACAGCCGCATCAGCAACATTTTTAATAAAAGTGACGCCAACATCTGCATTAGCGAAATGGGAGCTACCGGCAGCAACGTTCAAGATGACATTGTTATAACGAGCCACACGTGTATCAGCGATATCAGTGATTGCAGTACCGGGATCGGGACCAGCTTGAGCAGTACAAACCATAGCAGCGGAAACCTCAGTAATGGGAGTTGTAGCGGCAGTTCAAATACGACGACTAATTGTTTGGTCTTCTATTAGAGCGACTCGGAAATGTTCTCAGAGTTTGGAGACAAGCGTTAGATACCAACATCGGGTGTAAGATACGCTGCTAGGCAACGCGGTACCATTGCATGGCTGTCTGGCATTCGTCGACGAAAAACTGACGGGGTGTTGACCGGCCTTATGGCGGAATGAAGTTGAGTCACTAGGAAGCGTCCGCGACAAGGGTAATAACCTCAGTTTGCTCACTATTCGACGGTTTGGGGATTAGAAATCTGCTACAACTTGAAGCCGTTCTTTCAGTTTGTCAGCATTGCAAATACATGTGTGATCGGCTGATTAAGGTGATGGGAAAATTAATTTTGAAGAAGATCAAAAGAGATAATCTGCAGGCGCCAATTATTGATTTTCAAGTGATTTAGATTGGAAAGTTGGCTAGGACAGAGTTCAAGTTTGAATTCGCGGAGAATAGGCATTGGATAACATTGAATTCTCAAGTGTTTTTAAAAAATTAGTCCAGGATAATCAGAATACTTGGCCAATTTTCTAAAAAAATATCTACTCGATACATTATTAGATTCCTTCAGTAAATGACATCTGTCGCCATACATAGACATAGGTGCCATTGACACGATTTAAAGGGGCCTAGTTGGCCAGAAAGCCAAAAATTTGATGTCTCTTATTTGTCGTTAATGCTTTTTGGTCGAGCTATACGTATGTGTTAATCATGTAACTGTGTATATCAAACAAACATTGGTAGTAGCCTTGCCAGGCCATTAACTCGCAAATTACAACACTGAAATGAAATGTACGTCTTAGTTAGGGAGGCTTGTTGAAGAATCGCACAATTCGTAGAGGGCATATACGTTGATGATAGATGTAAACAGAGCTCCTAAGTCGTTTCCACTAAATCGCTTTTAACGTAGAGAAATTTTTGTTTATATACGTTTCGCATTTACCGAATTGCCAACTGAAGATTGACCATGTTTAAAACAACGAATATATATATTTTGTTATATTTTTGATTACTTGATTATGTATGAGTTATCTAGATTTTTAGTTACACTTTCGACAACTTACCACTCGAAATGTCGGTCTCTGTTATTTTTACTGTGAAGAAATTGGTAAAAAGCCATATGTTCGTCTTATTGGATATCGCATATGGACTGTACATAGTTACCAGCACAGAGTGAAAATAAAACTCCGTCCAAGTACATCATTTTTAGGATTATCTGTAGCATTCTGATTGCACCTATAGTCAGGCTTTTTGATACATCTCTATTTATTTCTTATTATTGTTAAGATACTATAAGTGCCTGATGTTCGAAATACCTCTAAAAGACA